GTTCTGAGAGGCCTTGGAAATAGTGGCTATAAGTGAGGATGTTTTGCCAAGAGGTTAGTTTGCAACTATCCCATTTACTGCTCTGGAAAAGGCTATCCACTGGGATCTCATTGGTGTATAAGAAAAAGTGTATTTCTCATAGGACCAGGAAGAGATGCTTTGAGCAGTATGATTGAGCTGTGGTTGGAAGCATTGCAAAGAGTTTGGTAATAGATGCTCGGTTAAATCTGCAGTAGTGATATCTCTGCAGAGCTTCTGTTTTATATATCATGCTTTGTCCTCTGTGAGTTTTGGAAACCAGTTTCCAGTCCCTTAGCAGTAACCCGAATGAGCTCTCTTGTAGACTGAGCTGTGTTCTTAGCAAGTTGGTATACTGGAGGTGAGGCAGCAGGTGGACCTGCAGAGATGAGTCCCTTCAAATGCTGTTGAGAAGGCCTAGGCATTGTTAAAAATGATGAGAAAAATATGTCTGTAGCTTGAGCAACACTGGTTTCTGAAGCAGGGCTGATCTTGTGGGTCAATAGGGCAATGAGTGCTTGTGGACACTGAGAATCTGGTGCTTGATGATACATTGTAAAATTCTGAGCCTGTCAGCAGCCAGGGGAAAAGGGGGATTATCTGTTGCCTCTGATAGAAGCCAGAAAAAACCAGGGCTGGGAGACAGGATGTGATTGAAATACATGGGGCTTAGGGCAGGGATCTGGGTCCAAAAGGAGCTGGAGTACTTTGCAGACAAACTGGGTCAGAGCCTATCTATATGGACTTGGCCAACATGGCTGAGGTAAGGAAAGACTATGATTTCATAGACACAGGGACATAAGACTCTGCCAATCCCACCAATGTCTGGCTCTGGGACAGCAAGACAGAATCCCCTGAATTGGCTTTGCCAGGGATAGGGGAAGGTCAGGAACAGGGCTGTAGGAGGAGCCCTGAGCCCGCCAGTGAGCAGTGGGCACTGACAGGTACTGACATACTGGCTGAGCCATTCTCTGTTGGTTCTTTGTTTACACTTGGGTACCATTTTAGAGGTTAATTAGCTAATTTATTCTTCACTCATTCAACTAGTATTTACTAGGCACCTATAGGGTGTAATCAAAATATATGGTTGATGTTTAAATTTTTAAAAATTTTAGTACAGTAAAAGATACTTTACTATCAGTGTTCCTCAAAATGTTTTCCCTCACTTTTCCCATCATTCCTGCCACTTTCTGAAGCAGTTCTGGAAGTTGAATTCCATAAGTGTCTTTACAAGATGTGATTAAAAATATGAGGAATTCTGCTGCTGAGTGCCATTGAAAGGAAAGGCAGGCTCATAACATTAGAGTGTGTCCTCATCTACCTTATTCACTGGATCTGGCTCCCTATGACTTTCCAGATCTTCCCTCAAGTCAAAATGACCATGATAGTGCAATATTTTGAATCAGTCCAGAATGTTAGGGCAGCCAGGACCTCATGAAGGAGAAACACTCATGAAGGACTTCCATAACTGCTTCAGAAAGTGGCAAGAATGGTGGGTTAAATATGTTGGAAGAGAGGGAGAATATTTTGAGGAGGATTCATGGCAATGTGTCTTTTACTATAATAATTTTTTTAAGCACTTGATCATTCACTGTAGTTTCCGAGTTCACCTGGTGCTCAGCTCAGAGTAGTAACCCTGATAGTGCTCTCCCAAAAGGCCCCCTTCTGTTTACAGGGGTCGGGAGGGTTGCACACAAGCAGACAGACAAGTAAGTAGAGCACAGTGTAGAAAGGGTGAAGACAGAGTCCTGGGGAGGTGCCTGGCATGCTCATAGAGAGTGCAGGAGCCAATTTGCTGCCTTCTTCTCTTTACCCCCTTTTGAGGTAGGATAGAAGAAATAAGGATAATTAAAAAGAAATATCATAATTGTAAAATTGTTCTAAGAAAAACTGCAACTTCAGGACACAGTGTTATCTAAGGTTCCCTACCAGCAAACGCACTGCAAAAAACAAAGATTCCTAAGGGTCTTAAAGATGCAATAAGCCCATAAATTGGGGGCTCCATGCTTTTACATGTAAATTGAGGCAACTCTCTTCCTCCTACAGACCTCCATCCTCAAAGCAAAGCTATGAAGCTGGCAGGTATCACTGAACTATCTCTAAACTACAAACACATGCAGATGGGTTGCATTCTAACCCAGCCCCAAAGGGGAGCCCACCAAATGGTAACCTGACAGACACATGGTACAAAATACACATCCTAGAACTATATCGAAGAGGAGAGGTGATAGTGGGCATCCTTGCCTTGTTCCTTATTTTAACGTGTAAATTTTCAGATTTTGGCCATTTAATATGACTCTGGCTGTTGGGTTTTCATAGATAGCCTTTATTAAGTTGAGATACAGACCATCTATTCCAATTTTTTGCAGGGTTTTTATCATGAATGGGTGTTGAATTTTGTCAAATGCTTTTGCTGCATCTATCGAGAGGATCGTATGGTTTTTTTCCTTGACTTTGTTAATATAGTGTATTACATTTATTGACTTATGTATGTTGAACCATCCTTGCATCCCTGGAATAAATCAGACTTGATCAGGATGTATGATCTTCTTGATGATCCTCTGTATTCTGTCTGCTAGTATCTTATTAAGGATTTTTGCATCTATATTCATTAAGGAGATTGGCCTGTACTTCTCTTTTTTAGTTGTGTCTTTCCCTGGTTTGGGAACCAAAGTAACACTTGCTTCCAGGAATGATTTGGAAGCATTGCTTCCCTTTCAATTTCATTGAAAAGTTTGAAGAGTAAAGGCAGTAGTTCTTCTCTAAATGTCTTGTAAAATTCAGCATTGAATCCATCAAGACCTGGGCTTTTCTTTGTTCGTTAATTTTTAATTACATTTTCAATTTCACTGATTGTAATTGGGGTGTTGAAAATGTTTTTATCTTCTTTGTTCAACTTTGGTAATTCATAACTATATAAAAACATTAACCACAGCAATTAAAAAAGAGAAAGAAATTAAAGCAATACAGATAGGAAAGGAAGAAATTAAACTGTCATTATTTGCTGATGATATGATACTCTACATTGAAGACCCAAAAAACTCCACCAAAAGACTTCTAGACTTAATTGGCACTTTTAGCAGAGTAGCTGGATACAAGGTCAACACTCAAAAATCAATAGCCCCCTTGTACACAAATAACAGGCTCACTGAGAGAGAAATTAGGGAAACAATTCCTTTCATAATAGCATCCAAAAAATGAACTATCTAGGAATCAATCTAATAAAAGAAGTAAAAAGACCTCTACACTGAAAACTACAGCACTCTGAAAAAGGAGATCGAAAAGTATATAAGAAAATGGAAAGATATCCCCTGCTCCTGGGTAGGAAGAATCAACATAGTGAAAATGGCCATTCTACCAAAACTGCTATACAGATTCAATTCAATGCCAATTGAAATTCCAACACTATATTTCACAGAACTAGAAAAAAGAATCCAAAAATTCATTTGGAACCATAAGAGACCTAGAGTAGCAAAAGCCATCCTAGGCAACAGAGACATGGCAGCTGGTATAACAATTCCCAATTTGAAACTATACTACAAAGCCACTGTGATAAAAACAGCATGGTACTGGCAAAGAAACAGATCTGAGGATCAGTGGAACAGATTAGAAGACACAAAAACAAATCCAGATGTACTCAGCTATATCATCTTTGACAAAGGAGCTGAACATCCTCAGTGGAGGAAAAATAGCCTCTTTAATAAATGGTGTTGGAAAAACTGGATTTCAACCTGCCAAAGATTAAAACTGGACCCTTATCTTTCACCATGCATAAATTAAAATCCAAGTGGATTAAAAATCTAAACATTAAAACAAAAACATTAAACTTGCTGGAAGATAAGTTAGGCAGAACTCTTGAAGACATTGGCATAGGAAAAGACTTTATGAACAAATCCTCAGTAGCACGGGAACTAGCAGAAAGAATCAACAACTGGGATCTCATCTTATTCAAAAGCTTCTGCACTGCAAAAGAAACTATCAACAGAACTAAGAGACAACCTACAATGTGGGAAACAAATTTTACCAGCTGCTTCTCAGAAAAAGGATTATTAAATAGAATATATAAAGAACTCAAAACAATCAGCCCTCCCAAATATAAAGACCCAATTCAAAAATGGGCATCTGAAATGAACAGACAATTCTCAGACAAAGAAGTAAAAGCATCAAGTAAAGATATGAAAAAATGTTGGACATCACTGGTCATTTGAGAGATGCAGATGAAAACAACACTGAGATTCCACCTCACCCCACAAAGAATGGCTGCTATCAAGAAATCAACCAATAACAAATGTTGGTGGGGTTGTGGGGAGAAAGGAACCCTTCTCCATTTTTGGTGGGGGTGTAGACTGGTGCAACCACTATGGAAATCCATATGGAGATACCTCAAAGAGCTGGGACTAGAGGTTCCATTTGACCCAGCCATCCCTCTGCTGGGTATCTTTCAAAAACAATTGAAAGAATCATATCACAGAGATATATGTGCACCTATGTTCATAGCGGCACAGTTTGTAATAGCTAAAACTTGGAAACAGCCCATTTGCCCATCAGTTGGAAACTGGATAACGATGATGTGGTTTTTCTATAAAATGGAATATTACTCAGCCATAAAGAATGAGAAATTAGAGTCATATAGGAAAATTAATACCAAATAGTTTCTCTGGTGTGAATAAACTATAATAGTACATAAGATCCTAATGATATAATGTGAAATAGGAAGAAAGGGGCTAAAGGTGTAGGGAAAGTGGGAAGGGTAGGGGAAAGCTAATAAGGGAAAAGAAAAAAATAGGAGAAATGAAAAAATGGAAATGAAGTGTTTGCAAAGGGGGAGGGGAGGAGGGGTGAAGGGAGGGCAGGACAAGGGGAAAAATGAGAACCAAGACCTGTCATGTAAAGGTACAAGATCCCAATGATGAATGTAACTGCACTGTATACCTAAAATGCACCAATAAACTCAATGAGGAAAAAAAAATACACATCCTACCATTCGCTTCAGCAGTACATGTACTAAAATTGGAAAGATACAGAGAAGGTTAGCATGGCCCCTGCCCAAGGATGACACCCAAATTCCAGAAATATACATCTTAATCTCCCATCTTAAGGATACCCCAAAACTTCAAGAAAACCCCAACCCCACTATAATGCACCTCTCTTTTGAGGGTCCCACTCTATTCTCCCTGTATACTTTTAAAAATCTTCCCAATGTACTTTTCAAATGCCTCACACACTATGTCCTACAACTCTGCTATAACATAAGTCAGCAAACCTACAACCCAGCCTGTGGGCGATGTTAGTTAAGGGCTCCACCTCCTCTTTGGGGGCCCTCCTTGGACCCCATCTGGTGACACTTTGACATGCACTATCTTCTTGAATGCAGAATTTACTTGGTGGCAATGTTGGGAAGTGGGCTCATATCAGGGCCCAACGTAGGGGATTCTTGTCTCTTGGTTTGATTTAATTTTCACAGCTAGGACCAGGAAATAAGCTCACTCAGATGGGTAACTGATGGTTAAAAAAAAATCAATTAGTCTTTAAGGGCTAGCACTGACAAAAGCCAGAAATTAGCGGGATGGGAAAGTGCAGGGTTGGGGGTGGTCTGTGTGGAAGAAATAGCCAAGTTCATCTGGGACCTAGGAATTTTGTCCACATTAGTAGCAGTGCCTCATGGGAAGACAAAATCCCCAGGGAGCTCTAGACACTTTCTCCCTTTTGGATAAGGGGAATTTTTTCCTTCAGTAAAGGCTATGCAAAGGCCCTATGTCCTCCTGGGAGAGAAAACTTCTCTTCTAATGATTGAGAACTAAGGATTTTATTCTACAATGGGATGCAGAATGGCAAAAATGGTTTGCTGGGGAGTGAAGACTGCAAGGCCCAAGAAATGGAGTCTGGGAAAGAACAGTACCACCCTGCAGCTCAGGACCCCTACAGGAATTGCCTTGCTGGGGAAGCCGGGCACCAAAGGCAAGGCACTGCTGCCTCCCATCTCTGGGATGAAGGTTACAGCACAGGGAAAAATCACCAAAGGCTATAATGGAAACCACTATGGGAATAGTGGTTTTTGCTTTTTAAAATGGTTTAGCAAGTATTAGGAAAGGAGAAAAATTATAGTGTGCCAGAATTCATGGCAAGGAAAGGAGCAAGCAGCTCTCAGTGGGCTTTCTGGCCTCTTTCCATCCTAAAATGTCCTATTTTTCTACCTAGAGGAGGAAAGTGCACTGTCTCCTCCTTTGCTTCCCTCCCTATCTTGCTGTGCTCCAGTTTCAGAAAGGCCTCCTAAGTCATGTGCTCACCTCCACAGCCGTCTGCACTCTGGGCTCCTCTGACAGTTTATTTGGTAGCAAGACATTGAGTGTCACTCCCTGGCCATTGTTGCTATTTATAGGACAGCTGAAATGTTCCTCCACTGGAGGTCACTTCCAATTGCTCACCATAGGAAAGCTCAGGCTTCACAAAACCTGTCTGAGACCAACCTTCTTTCTTCCGTGTCAGTTTTACAGAGAGATAGAGGGAAGCCCAGGAACAAGAAGATGAGGGCATAACCAGAAAGGCCAGTGGCACCAGACTGCACTGGCATTTCTAAGTATTTGTACACACACTTGTTGACTGCAAAGCAGTGTTGGGCTCACACCTAGAGAGCAGAGACCAATTCCTCTTTCCCCAAGTTCATACTGAACTTCTCTAAAGGGTATTTCTGAGAGAAGAAAGACAAAGTAGGCAATCAGAAAATTATTCTGAACATGTACAATTGCCTACAAAGTAGTGAGGCTAATTGTTGTTCATTCTGGAGTGGTAAAAAAAAATAAGAAATTCAAAGGCAAAACATCTGAGTTTAACTCAGACTACCTATGTGACCATGGGAAAGCCAGTTACCTTTCTGGTCCTCAGTTTCCCCATTAGCAAAGGAACAATAAACATCTAAGCACAGGCTTGTTGAGGAAGAAATGAGGTAAGGGATTGCTGGGATGTGGTGGCCTGTCATTATTAAACCTCTCTTGCAGAGTGGATGATTGGGAGTCTGCCTTCAGAGTTGGCCAGGCATTATCATCTGAGCATGGATTTATTCTTAGCAAACCAACAGCTTTTTAAAAGAATATGGAGACTGTGGATGATTAACTCAGGGCAGTTGTAGTCATCAAAATGTACTAGAGCCATCTTCACATCCCCACAGGGTTTGTGTAACAGCAGCTGTGGGAAAAAGGGGAAAACTTCTCAAGGGGCCTCCTTTTAAGGGAGACATTTCCCCTCCATGGTGTAAATGCATGTTCCTTTGCTTACAGTCTCAATACCATGACACCTCTCATGTAAAAGAGTACCTATGTAAATGTCTAGTAAATTTTGCCCTGTGAGCCTCCCTTTTTCTGTTAACTGAGGCTATTAGAGAGTTGAGAGTCTGTGAGTTGCTTGCAACTCTGTTCTATTCATGTTCAATTCCATTATGATTCCACTTTGGGGAATACGGGTGTGTCGATATGAGTTTGCCCAGTCGCAATTTGAGCATGACACTAGGAGTACTACCAAATCCTTATTGAGCTTCATTCTTCCCCTGAGATACTATTATCATTCTTATGTTACAGACAAGGAAACTGAGGCACAAAAATGTGCAATGATTTTTGCCAGGAAGTGGCACAGCCTGCATGCAAACTCAGGGAGCATGACTCAGAATCCATGGTTTGCTTTATTGGAAAGGATCTTATGAGCCAACTCTTCCAGAATGTTCTTGTCCAGTAGAAGGGGTAGAGCACCAATTTCCCAGGCTGGAATCTTTCTCTGAATGTTTCCAATTGATATTAAACTATAGCAGCTTTGAGAGAGATATAGTGTATTGAGTGGTGTTCCTCCACCCCTCAAAATATATGTCTTCCCAGAACATGTGAATGTTACCATATTTGGAAAAGTGGTCTTTGCAGATTCTGTTAAGAATCTTGAAATGAGATCACCTTGGATTTAGGGTGACCAGGGTAGACCCTAAATCCAATGAACAATGTCCTTAGAAAAGAAGAAAAGGTGCTGTAAAATGATGGCAGAAATTGGATCAATGTGGCTACAAACCAGAAAAAATCAAAGATTGCTACCCAGTTACCCAAAACTAGGAGAAAGCCATAGAATGCATTCTACTCCATTCTACTTCAGAGATGGTATAGCCCTGCTAACAGTGATTTTGGACTTCTGGCCTCTACAACGTGGGAGAATACATTGCAGTTGTTGTAAGCCATCATGTATGGCAGTTCTGGGAAACTAACACAGGAAAGTGAGCCCTAAGAGGAATCTTGAATCATCAATTCTCTTCAGAATCACTGAGGGTCAGGGTCAATAGTGGAGAAATCTTAATACCAGCATCCCTTTGGAAGTGTCAGGGAGGGCAGTAGAGGGCGAAAATGGCTCCTTCCAGGCAGGGTTACAACCTTCTTCACCCAGAAACTTCTAGTTTAGTGCTCAGAAGCAACATGAGAAACATCTGCTTGGTGAGTACTCAAGAGGGGCCTTGGTTCCCAGTGGTATCCAGGAAACCCCAAGAGCAGCAAGTTATAATGGCCCTCAGGAAGGCTCCTACATTTCAGTTAATTTACCCTTTAGCTCACTTGAACTAAATTTCAATCCATTCTGGTGTATTTTGTTTTATACCTGCTAAAGCAGAATGGAGAGGAAGTAAGGGTGATAGGAAGGGTGTCTGTTTGCTGAGCATTTCACATTGGCACTGAAATATCTCTTGCCTGGAGACATATTTGAAACAAGGGTCTTTGATGCTCTCAAGACTTTAGGACGACAAAAACGTGTTTGGTCCCCTACTAAATTCAACCCTCTTTCCCAGCTTCCATAGTTCTTACTCAAAGGCTGAGCTCCTGGGAGCTGTAGTGTGGCTGGAAATGAGGAAAGAATGGCCAAAGGGCCAGGGATTTGAAGGCCAGAAATCTGGGTCCCAGCTCCAGCTGTTCAAACGGGAAGTACCTATAGGACTAATAAGGTTCAAAGCTCTTACTTCAGGTTTGAGAAAACAGGCCCAGAGGGAAGCAGGGACTTGCCCAAGGCTACTTATTTTGCTCACTGCCAAGCTGCAATGGAAAGCAGGACTCTTTCTGGCTTATGTTGCCAGGCAGGCTTAGTGCTCTTTACTGGACATCATGAGATGCCAGGAGCTGGACAGGCCTGCTAAATTCTTTTTCCAGCTGCAAGTCTTCTGTCCTTTCTTGAAACAATCAGCCTAGTTCCCTGCTCTTCCTGGGACACTGATCACGTTTCACTTGGTTGTTTAGATCACGTTTCACTAGTCCACAAGGGTCAGGGTCAGGGCCTGTGGCTGAGGTATCTCTATATTCTACCCTCTCCATCTAGAGCTCAAGTAGCGACTGGCATAGAGAAGGAGCTTAGCACACATTTATAAAACGAATGAACGAACGAATGAATGAAAATGAATCTCTAACAGTAAGAAGTCTTTTGTGTTAAAGTGTATACTAAAAGCGAATTAAAATGGACTCATTTTGTGTTAAATTACATTAGCAGTACATTAGAATTTCAGATTTTAGCAGAGGAGAAATTACAGACAAATTTAGGCATTCTCATTCCTCAGTGATGTCTAACCCCCAAAGATTTAAAGGAGAAACGGTAGCCTAATATTGTCCTTCTGTTTTCCTCTTGTTCTCTTCTGCTGTTTGAAGAGCTGTGAAATTATCAGTGCTTTGAAATATACTTTCTACAATATCAAGCCTCTTACGCAAATATGCAAAATTCATTCTTAACTTCTATTTTTTCTTCTTTCTACTTTAGTATTACATTGTGTGGTTAATGCACCTTTCCCTCATATATGAAAAGCAAAGGTCACTAAGTGGCAGAGCGTCCCTGGCATGGCTATCTAGTTACTCCATGAGTGCTTGTGCTTGGCCAGCATTGCTGAGAGAAGCTTGAGAGGGACCCAGGGTGATCTGGGTAGGCTGGATGTGGAAGAGCTTATAGTGTGGCTTCGGGGAAGGACAAGCCAGTGACTGGGGAAAAGGGGTTCAGGAATGGGAGAGCCTCCTCTCCAGAAAGTTCCTCTGGGGCAGTCAATGGGGGCCACCCCAGAGCTCTGGTAAAGCATTGGAGAAGCAGTGGTGCA